TGAGGGGAGGGCGATTCTGGGCTGCGTGATTGGGGGACTTCGTGGCTTTGGGTGGGTGGGAGCGAGGACGGACGAAGTCCGCGAAGTGGGGCTTGCCTGCCCTTGCTGGCTGCCTCTGCTTCCTTAGGGGCGGGGAAGGGGGCTCATCTGGACCAAGGGTGAGTCTCCCCCTCAGTTTCCCCTGAAGGATCTTCCATCGCTTTTGCCTTCTCCCTACGTCTTCCCTCTGTTAAAATCTCCACACACACACACACTTATTTTCAGGCGGATAGATTTCGTGTCTGAGCATTCTCACATGACGGTGGGTCTTTCCTCCCCCCTAAAAACAGTTAAAAAAAGAAAAAACAATATATCCTCATGCAAGAACTTTTCTGCTTCCAATTACCCCCATGCTTACAAGTTGCAAAGGAAACACGGAAGCGGCTACCCAGCTCCGGAGCTCCACACCATTTTTTTTTCAGAGGGGAATCTGACTCGAGTATAAGCCGAGGTTTTTTTTTTTCAGCACAAAAATGTGCTGGAAAAACTCGGCTTATACTCGAGTATATACGGTATCTTCCTTTAGTATCAAGTATCACATAAACATAGAAACACAAGAAAAATTATATATGACTATACCATTTTCATTATATTTTTATTTTCAACAGAATGAGAAGCACTTTCTTCACGCTTAGGCTGTTCTTTTTTTTGTTCACAATCTGAACCAATGAAGGTCTGAACAGGATACCAGCAAAGCTGCATCTCACTAGCACTCTCATAGTTAGCTAGGCTGATCTGAGCAATGCCCTGCAAACATATCAATGCAAAATGTGTCAATGTATCATAGAAAACATTTCTATTACAAAACTATTTATTTTAATTAAAAAAACATTAGTTGCAGTATTTAAGGAATACTTGTCACATTCTGTGTAATTAGCCTCATTGCCTACATTTCTCTGCAGATGATATTTCACATCTAATTCTAATAAATTATCTTTGATTTTTTCACTAGTTGGTAGGGATATGTAAAACATTTTCAGCGTAAAATGTTTCCAGCTTAAAAAAAAAATCTATCTTAAGTTTGAAACCTTTGCTTCAACCCTGAAATGGGTTGTTCTGACTATTCTGGAACATTTCATGGAAATGAATCTCTTACCAATAATTCTTCTTGTTGGTGCTGGCCAAGTGAACAAATGTAAAGTTGCAGTGCTTTGAGTTTTAAGATATTTGATTGTACAGGAATCTGAAAGACTTCATTAAATATTAAAGAAGCCTGGAATTCCAAAGCCTTAGAGCAATATGTGGTTGTGGTGCCTGATTCAACAGATGGTAAATATATTCTCACGTGTCTGGAAAAAAAGAAAAAACTCCTATATAATAGAAATATCAATAAAATATATAAAATTGGTAAATACATTTTCTTTTTATCTTTTTAAATGGTCACTATAGCACTGCACTGCAAAGGGCTGTAATTCTCTTGCATGTACTAAAGCAATAATATTTGAGATAGTCAATATGATACAAATCCTGGTAATTCTGAATGCCTACAAGTAGAACTTGACTTATTTGGACCAGAATTTTTGTTGCTAAGAAATGTAATGGTCACTTGATGTGCATAATTAATCACATATCTTGACATTTCATAGGATTAAAAAGACAGTGTTAGAATAATGACAATCTCAACGTACATTTTACAGCCTTCTTTCATGGCAAAGCCAGTAAAATTCTTCAGCTGCAACACATGGACAAGGAGACATTCACTTCCACTGTCATGCCTGAAAAACAAGATAACTGTTAACTGCCAGTCTATTCTCAAACATACAAGGCAGATAGATTTACAGTAAGGCATATTTTTGTTTGTATATAACTGATATATCATATATTTATTAGCAATCATGATGTTTGTCTGAAACATCTGCGAGAAAGAGGACGTTGACATCTAATAGGTTGTGGGCTGTCCACAGTACGTCCACAGGTGGCTGGTAAAGCCTATATAGGCACGAAATGTTCTGCCGCATGTCAGGCGATTAAATAAAACATTAAATTTTCTATTAAATCATATTGCAATAATGACAGCATTATATTATAATGTAACTTTAAAATAGCAACAATTTAGAATTAGTAACCAATTTAATTTAACATTCCTCTTCTTTTAGCAGAAGTCTCTGATACAGCTAGCAGAACTTATGAGGAATTCTAGTTCATGCTCACAAATTTGGGGAACTGATTAATTTGGCCATTTAAGGACAGTGCGATGAACCATACATTTTGGATGTACTGTTCTGGATTAGGGGGGATTTTCTTTTAGTCCCATACTCTTTTTTCACAAATTAAAGCAGTAAAGATGAGGTAGCCCAGAAGATGTACCTTCACGACTCACAAGTATTCCTGAATATCGTCTGTTTTGGCATATAGTTAGTAATGACCAAGGCATAGAAAAATACTTACAGAAATCCAACCTGCATTTTGGGCTCTTCATTAGTGACACCATCATTATAAAGTGATTCTTCAACATCTTCATTTCTATATAGGAATTAAAAAAATTAATAACTTATTACAGTAGTACTCTGTCATTATAAATAATACTAGCTAATACGTACAAAAAACCTCTCCTTCCTCTGCTTTCCATATTATATGACAAACATTCATCAAACTCAAATCTTAAAGATATTGTTGAATTCTATGGTATGTAATAAGTTCATAGGTGATTAACCTAATGTCTAACTTTATTTACTGGCAACTACCACATTTGATCGTTTTGCAAAAAATAAAAAAAATAGTATGTTGATGCCCAGATAGGCAAGACAAGCATCAAAAGTGATTTTAAATATTGAGGCATGTGCTATTCCCAGTTTTAAAACAGGTACAGGTATCAAAGCTGAAGCTACTTTAACATCCCCAAGGTCCTTTTCAAAGATAAAAGTTTCTATTCAAAGCAAAGTTGCTTATATTCTATGTACTAATATGTAGTGTTCTGGTCTATTATAACTGAATTTTGTTATAAAATTTTAGTGCTAGAGCACTAAAGCATAGCCAGAGAAAAGTACAAGGATCCAACATTATTAAAATTTCAGTGGATGCAACACAGTGTTTCCTTACCCTCTCATAAAATGGCAGCTATTCTTTTCTTCTTTTAATTCATTTATTTTTCCTGTTTCATTTCTATTCATTTTTAAAACGTAAAAATATTTTAAAGATACATTTCCAAATGCCTTTTAACTACTATTAAAAGAGAAGAGTTCATACTTCTATGTAGTTACAATGCTCAGTAAACTAAAAAAAATTTAAGACCTAGAATTAAAAAACCTACTTTGCTCAGATTTTATTTGCCATTAATCTTATCTAGTAGAAGATAAAAAGATCTTCATCAAGTATTTTTGAGGGGAATTTTGAGGGGAATTAAGTATAATTCCATTTTACAAATATTTGTACAACCTGACCTTTTGCTTAAAGCTTCAAACACGCCACTGTCACTAGCCAGTGAATAATTGGACAGACATGCTGAGACTCGCCTGGATCTTCTTTCCAATCTTCTAGTACTATCTTCACGTAAGGTCACAGCTACAACATGGAAAACAGTAAAGATAAGTTACACTGAAAGTTTGTTTATTTATTGGATTTATCCTCTCCTTTTAATTTGTAAAGCATAGATAAAGGTAGCATTCATAATACTCCCTCTTCCTATTTTCTCTTCCATCCAGTTTACTAATACAAATATATTAAATGTGTCATATGTATATTGAAATCTTAACACACACTGGCCTACCTTAAATTTGCATCTGAATACTTTTAACTGAGTCTTGAGCACATGCTTGCATGACTACCCATACAATTCACTCCAAATTAAAAAGATAATACATGTTGCTAAAGCAAAACATAAAGAATGTATTTATAAACCATTAACAATTTAACATGAGTATAGTCCACTAGCATGAATATATAGAAGATAATTGGCTGCATTCAGATTATATAAATTATCCAACACTTACTCACAATCCTTTATGATTCTCTTTATGATTACTAACAGATTAACAGACTGATTAATGCTAATTGGCCTATGACTTCTCCTTTCACTAACAAGAGAAACAAATATAAAATAACCCATATCTTGTCTTAGATTTATATTCAAGTTGGCAATGAATGGAAATCAGAGAAAACAGCACAATAGTCATTCAGCCAATGACCAAGAACAAATGACACAAGGACCCTTTAAGCAAGCTCTAATACCAATTATATACGTGCAGCACATTAAGAGGAGCCAACTAATGAAATCAAACACCAAAAGTATGAGTTTCATATGCATTTGTTTCAATTAAATTATAATTATATCAAGTGTTTTCTTAAAGCTATCTTTACCTCTCTACCTGTTTCATTAACGAGATAATCATGTCAATTATAATTTTAAATATTTCCAAGTTGAATGATTTTATTGAAAATCGCATGAAAATAATTATGCCATAAAAATGCAAAGTATTTTTAAGATCAGTAACAAAACAGTAAGCAAACTTTTGATATATTGCACAACGCAAACAAAGAAAATATGTTGTCATTTTATTCTTCAGGATTTAGACTTCCTAGTCTACAGTTTTATTAGTCAAACTCTGTCAGCTTCCCATCTTGGCAAAGCCAGCTAGTGTTACCAGAAATATAGTGATACAGAGTTTATTTCTCTAAAAAATTATATATAATTATGTTATATTATAGCTATAAGTTATATATAATTATTTTAGATTTCCAGTGTTTTAAGTGTAAGATTTTGTTTATCTTATTGCAAGAAAGTTTGTAATACAATTTTACAGTTTGTTTGCTTGCCATACAAAATCTTTGTTTTTATTTTCAGTTTTTAAAAATAGGATGCTCTTAACACTTAGAATCAAATTCTATAATTGTGATATTCTGATGTTTATCTATATTGAAGTGTTAAAGATAATAATATTGCTACCTTGTTTCAATTTGGTAACACGGCTATTGCCAGCAAGTTAAGACATGCTTCCTACTCAAATGACAGAAACAGAATTTCCAACTGAGGAGTTTGTCGTTTTGTGCAGTAACTGTCTTCCCACTTTTAAATATTTTATTGACTCTTAAAAGAAACTTCATTTTAAAAGATTTTAAAAGATTAAAGTCTTCTTTGAAATGATCTTGACTTTGTGTTACAACATTGATTAATTGAGTAAAATTATTCTGTGTTTGGTTTTCAGTTTGCTTTCACAGTTCCCAATCTAGCTTACAGTTTGGGGTTTAACTGATAGTTTTGCTTCAAAGAACCAAGCCTAAATCATTTTAGCTTCTTGCGATCAACTAGCATTGGCTAAATGCTAGCCATATGATAGGGAATAGTTAGGGTTAGGGAACGGCAGCAAAAGTTTCAAAAGAGAACATAGTTAATATCAAATAAGAGAACATGTAGCTAATATCAAATGATGAAGTAGAAATGCAAGATATTAGAATTCCATATTTTTGTTCAGTTTACACTAGCTAGTAGAAGAACTTAGGTAGAGATTGTATACCTAAATATTTAAGATCCTTAAGTACAACAATTATTAATACCAGCTATTCCAGATTATTGTTACATTACTATTAATCCAATATGGCTAGGAAACAATAGTTGCTCCTAAGATTTTTTTAATGAAATCATAAAAAATATTTTGGTTTTTAAACATGCAGAACAAAACCCAAACTCTACAAATACACATTAACTTTACAGGCAGAAAGAAAAGAGTAAATCTAGAATAACTTACAGCATTTTTTCTGTTGTGCCACATGAGGAACAAAATAAAGGAATAATTTAAGTGAAATGTGGAACCAGTTTGCCAATCTGACATTTTCATTAAAAAAAAAAACCCCACAGAATTAAGCATCCCCTGAAATTCTGCAACTCAGGGAAAAAAGTGAATGTTGAAGGTTAGATCAACAGTACTCTCCAAACTTCATTAATGAGAGCTAACAGTCTATAGTACAAGAGAAATATTTTTTATCTTTATTCTTTATATATATGTTCTTTATATATCTTTATTCTTTATCGCAAACAAATATTCTACAAATAATAAATGAAACACTTAAACTTTATTGCTTTAATCAAAATGTACAGTAACATCTTTATTTTGTGGAAAAGAAGAACCAATCGTTTTCATGGAACTATTTTTGTTAACCTAAGAGTGCAGATTTATGGCATCTTACGTTCAATTCTGCATCCAAAATTGTATTTCTGTCACATTTAAAATATTGTTAAAAAAAGAATATGAATTTGTACTAATAATTATTCTTTCCTTTTACACTCAGCAGAGAAATACAAACAGCATTAGTGAAAGTTTGAATACTCAAGTCTCTATAAATCAAAAACAGATCAAATGAATTATTTCAGAAAATGAGCATATTTCATGGTACTCCACCACTAGATGGCAGCCATTTATACCCTATGCACTACATTTAAAAGCAACAACAGTGTTGTTCATTTATTTCCCTAACCTTTAAATATGAAAACGAGCAAAATGAGAAAAGGAAAATGGAAATGCCTAAGCAATTCAATCACATGGGTATAAAGCAGAAAAATCTGTAATATATTTAATTTTTTAAAAATGATCCTACACAGACCCATAGCAATTAGCAAATAGCAAATATTTTTTTAAAAAAATGCTAGCTAATAACATTGAAAAATTAAATTCTATATTATAATGTAGCAAAAATGGTAAAAAATGTACTAAAATACATATTATGGAAATTATTGGTCAGTTTATAGCAGAAGTGGTGTGGGAGTGGTGGAAACTACTTGCGTGATTGTGGTATGTTAAAACCTGAATGAATGAACAAATAAATGTCTTTTTTTAGGCTCAGAACACTGCAAATGAGTTTCAAAGCAGAAATGTTTTATTCATTTCAAATTACAATTAATTTGCCCTATAACTTCAGTAGGACTTAAAGTAGTTTCCCTCATTTTGTTTCAGAAATAGATAGGAAGGAGTTTAGAATATGAACACAAATTAAAAAGCTAAAATGTGTAACAAGCCAGCAAAACATTTTATTTCCTTCTCTTAAAACTTACTATAAGTTTTTATAACGTTTACTTAACTGAAACACAGACATGCTAACTGTTCACAATTTCATTCAGCCTTTTTTCCTCCAAAGCAAAACATGTACAACTGTATTTTTTTTAGATAAGCTGCTATGTAGGTTGTGACATCCGACCTATATTCATTGTTTTGTTGATATCTGAAATATAAATAGCTAAAAATTAACTTACCACCAGAATTCGGAATATTGAGAATTTGCAGCCCGGCTTCATTTCTTGTGGAATATTCAGTAGCCTTAAATGCCACAATTTCTTGTCCTTTGTCTTCACCCAAAACAGAGCCCTGAGCTCGAAGTACTTCTGAAGCACCTGTGTATGTTACTTCTTCATACCCTTCTGACTTATGAACTAATGGAGAATCCCGAGAAGCTGGTAGGAAGGGAGTGTCCAGAGGAGAACTTGGAGGTGATAGTGAAGAAAGGGATGATCTTGATGACAATGATGCCAAAGACAGAGGAGTATCTAAGGATCTTCGTTGTTTACTGCTAGCTGGAGATCCGATAGATTCATGATACTGTACATCTTTGTTGTGAGAATCAACTGGAACTGGATCATATCGCATATGATGACCATATTCAACAGCAATATCAGATTTATCATACTGAGGGAGACCATAGATGTCTGTGAAACTAACTGAACTCAGGGAGCCTCTGCTGGATGCCAATGACCCACGGCTGGATGCCAATGATCCTCGACTGCTTCCAGAAGATATTGTCAAAGAACTGGCAGATAAACTGGAATATAACAGATATATGTAGTAAATGTGCGTTCACAAATGTAGATTCAAAATATGAGTTTTTCCCTCTTCATTAGCTGAAACAATAATCAAGATATACTCCTATATGCAGGCTTTGCAGATAAAAACTCCATTGCTTTCCTTTGTCATTATATTTATTATCAAATTAATAACATCAGGGAAAAATTAAAATCAGAGAATGGAAAATTAATTACAGTGAAGGATTAATGTTTGTTACACTTATAAATAACAGAACCAAGTAACTATAGAAAATAAGTTGAATTATGCATTATATTAGACAGCCTTGAATTCACACATTTATATCTCCTGTATCTCCTATGTCTTCCATTTTTCATCTGTGACTGAATTTGTGATCTGACCTTTCTCCTTCAGAAAAGAGTTCCAAATTATAATCAGAACAAGTCTGCAATTCTGGACTGAACATGTCTGCATGAAATTGCAAAGTATACTTTTCCTAAATCACACATACATATAGCAAGAACTGCTAAAAGTTAAAGATGTGTGTGTGTGTGTGTGTGTGTGTGTGTGTGTGTGTGTTTTCTTAAGTTTTCGCAGGTATTTATATGTATAGTATTCAGCTTTGTTTGGGTATTTTTCCACGTCATTATAGTTGTGCTTTTAAAGTTGTAGCGATGTTTCGGCAGAATCTCATCTGCCATCATCAGGCTTGTGTATTGTGTTCATCTGTGAGTCAGGCTTTCACAGTCGTTTCTGTTTTAAATTTGGTGCTAGCCTACTGCTGTGTTAGAATAGTTTTTTTCTTCATCCTGATTGGTTAAACACAGACCAAGACTCCCAACCAATCAGGATGAAGAAAAAATCATTCTAATACAGCAGTAGGCTAGCCCCAAATTTAAAACAAAAATGGCTGTGAAAGCCTGACTCACAGACGAACACAATACACAAGCCTGATGATGGCAGATGAGATTCTACCAAAACATCGCTACAACTTACAACTGTAAAAGCACAACTATAATGACGTGGGAAAATACCCAACAAAGCTGAATACCATACACACATATATATAGATATAGATATACCGTGTTTCTCCAACAATACACCCCCCCCAATAGAAAGACCCACCATATTTTCTAGGCATAAGGTGAAATTAAGCCCCTCCCCCCAAATTTAGGCCTAGTTTAAAACATGCAAAATTGGAGGGGGGCGGGGGGAACTTGCCGTTAGGAACACCCTGAGGGCAGCCACGCCTCACCACAAGCCGCTCCTAACGGCTGTTCATGGCGGAGCATGGAGAGCTCCCTATCCCCAAGCGCCTTTGCTGCAGATCCGGGTGTGGTTCTGGGTGCAGGCTGGGTCAGTGGGCGGGTGGCGGCAGCGTGGATGTCGGCTTCGGTGGTGGTGGGGCACTTTGCATCGCGCCTGCCACTGTTGCTTCCTCCACTGCTGTTGCTTTCCCTTCTGCCTGTATGCTGCCGCATTTGGAGTGCTACACATTCCTCCACCGGCAGCGTTTCAGCTGCTTCTCAGGCGGGGAAGCCATAGCTTCAATGGTTCCCGCCGGCGCTGGTGCCTCTCTCACCAGTGCCATCTCCAATAACAGGGGCAGCGGTGAGACAGACCCCGCTGCCGATGAGAACCGCCTGCCCTCCCGCAGGGGCATCGCTTTGATTGATGGCAGCTGCGTTGACAAGGTCCTGCAAGTCGGTGAGTCTTTTGGGATTGGGTAGGTGGAAGTGGCGGAGGGAGGGTGATGCAATCATTTCTCTCCCCTGCCACGCCTCGCTTTGCTTCCCGCCCCAGAGCTTCGGGTCATGGTCTCGTCCCTTGTACTGTCAGGCGCTGTCCTCTTGCTCCAGCCGCCCGAAACCCCCTGTGCACCTTTTCCCCTTCTTTAAGTTTTCTTTACTCTCATTCCCTCCGTTAGTCCCCTAAGAATACAGACTGGCCAGGCAGCTTCCTCTCCACCCCTCCCGGTAGTTTTAAAAAGGGAACCATCTATCCACCTTGCCCTTCGAGCAGAGGAAAACCTTCCAATCCAAACAGAAGAGAAAGGGAATCATCCTACAGACCCTTAGCACCAAGCTTCCCAGAGGATTCTCCCAACGGATCCACCCCAAAGGAGGAGAAGCAACATTTGAATGCCTTACACATCATAATATTTAGAGAATCTAAAGACCACATCTGCTTCTACAATTTGGGGAGGGGGTAGGATATTTCCTTATGCTAGCCCACTAGGTAAAGCATTTTTAATGCTTTGCACAATTTAAAGTCTAGATACATTAAAAATAATTACCAAATAATAAATGAACAGCTAGCAAAAAGGCAGACATGAAATAACTGGATGGAATAAGCTATTACACAGGTTAGAGCAGTAAATTGGGAGATGAAAAGGAACCAATGTAACAAAAGCAACATTTAGTTCTGTTTTTGGGAAAGGGGGATGTAAAAATATTGGAACAACCATAATATTCAGATCCTACAGACATTCCATAAGTAAAAATCTACTGTTAGTGCAACATCTTTCATTTTTATGATCTGCCCCTTCAACATACACATGTAGTCCTTGACTTGCAACAGTTTGTTTAGTGACTGTTCAAAATTACAACCACTGCAGCATACCCATGATCATGTGATCAAAATTCAGATGCTTGGCAATTGGTTCATATTTATGACCTCTTCTAGTCCCAGGATCATGTGATCACCTTTTGCAACTTCTGACAAGCAACGTTAACGAGGAAGCCAGATTCACTTAACAATCAGGTTACTAAATTTATCAACTGCAGTGATTCACTTAGTAACTGTAGCAAGAAAAGTTGTAAAATGGGGCAAAACTCACATAACAAATGTCTCACTTAACAACATAAATTTTGGGCTCAATTGTGATCATAAGTCAAGGACTACCTGTGCATATTAAGCTAACAAAAGTATTTTATTTCGACTTCCGGTTCGGGCTTCTTCAGGGACGGACCGAAATCCGTGATCATGCATGGTTTTGATCCGTGCTCACCGCTGGAGCGCCCCGAGCCGCCCAGATTTGGGGCTGAAGCCACCCCATAGAAGTGGTGAAGAAGGGAGAGCCATCAGTGGGGTTGAGGAGAGCTGCATCTCTCCTCCTCAGCTGGCCATTACTCCCTTTCCCAAAGGTGGTTGCAGCGGTGGTCAGAAATGGCCAACTCAAAGAAGAACCCGACCGGACAAGATTGTGCAGGAGGAAGTTTAAAGGAGAAAGCTTGACTGACAGGGTTGAATGGAGAACATCTATTTAAGGCACCTGGAACCTGAATTTTAAAGACTAATACTATTCCTAAAAAATATCTTAAGCAGCAAAAGAGAAAGGGAAAGGAAACGGAATTGGCTTTTTTTCCTCTCATATTGACAGTTTTAATTGACTTGGAACGTTAAGAAGAAGAGATTTGAACAAGAAATTGATACTAATCCACTTTGACATTAATAGACTATTTCTAGCTGAAAATAAAGTATCAAAGGGATAAAGATTCTTGGATAATTTAAAAATTTTCTTAAAAAAAGAAAGAAAGCAGAGGAGGGAAAAAGGAAACAAGAGGGTGGAATCTGGAAAATGGAGGAGACCACCTGGAACTTTAAAAAATTGATAGTGGAATTTTAACAAGGCTTGCAAAAGATACATTTTAGCTGAAACCTTGTTACAAGATAACAAAGCCTCTGGAAAGAGAAAGTGAGAAAAGAAGCAAGAAACAGTTTTGGAATATTGGATGATTCCTGGAATTTTGGACGGTGGATCCTAATGAAACAAAATAAAATCAATTGGGGGTTGTTTAATTTTTTTTAAAATGGCATCACTCCTTGAAGAGTTAAAAATGAGACTTAAAGAACAAAAAGAAGCACAAGAGGGAAGAGGATCTTTTAGCTTCATAATTCAATTTTTAGAAACGGAGATTTTGAACTATGAAAAATAACAAGAAATGCTGGCAGAACAAGAAGGGCGGGATAAAGAAGAAGCCATCTTTAATGGCCAAGCAACTTTAAGCGGGGTAAAAAAGGGAAAGGGGAGAAAGGGAGTTAAAAACTTAAGCATTGAAGCAACAACCAAAAAAAAGAGTAATTTGAAAAGCAATCATAATATCAGGAAGAAGCAGAAGGGAGGATCACAGAAGGGAGAATCAGATAGAAAAGGGAATAAAAAGGGGAGGGAGAAGAAGAGAGGGAAGAGGGAAAGGAAAAGAAGCTACAAAGGACAGAAACAAGATATAAAAGTACAGGAAAAGTGTACAAGAATTAAAGGTATAAACCTATTTAAAAGACAGAGACAATGGTTAAAATTTAACTTGAGAGGATTCTGCAAGGGTGCATGGGATAGCATTGTTATATTAGAAATAGAAAAGGGTTAGAAAATATGTTTAGATGATTAAAGTGAGAGAAAAAAATTGTATTGATGTGTAATGGAATATTTGTTTGTAAAGAAAATAAGGCTCTCAATGATTTAAAAAGAAAGTAAAAAAACTGGAAAAAAAACATGGCAGATTTTTATCAGTTGACAAGATGAATTTGAATAATAATAATAATTTTATTGACTTCTGTTAATAACTATTGTTTTGTTTTTTATTTAAATACAGTAATAAGTAAAATATGAAATATAGATGATTAAAGTGAAAGACAACTGATATTACTAGGTAATGTTTGTTAAAAGAAATAGAAATGTAAAATATTGTTATTAATATTAATGGCAGAGCTGTACTTGAATAGAATAATTATCCCATTTACTATTTACATATTTACGCAGATATATATACATATACACTTTTTTCTTTTAAGAATTTAGTGTGTATTTTTAAGGGAATATACCAAGCAGAATTCAATTGAAAATAGGTATGTGTTATAAAATAGAGGTTAAAAAATGAATTTATAACTGTAAAGGTGTAACTTAAATTTTTAAACAAGATTTGAAAAAAGATACAAAGGTGTTACACTCTAGTCTAGTAATTACAGGGGAAAATTTGTTTTATGAGAAAAGATAATATGAAATTGTAAAGAGGACAGACAAAAGTATAAAAACATTGATTAGAAAGATTTTAAAAATTAGAAAAAGATATGTAGTTAAATTAAGAAAGGAATGAGATAATTTAAAATAAGGCTATAGGAAGTAAAGAAAGGGAAAAGCTATTGAAAAAAATTGCAAAAATAGTTATAAGATATGGATTAGAATGTTTAAGATAAATATGTATTGAGTTTATGTCTGTATGGAGAAGTGATAACCCAGGGTCACGCTGTTCTCAAAAAAAGATATTTTATTTGTATTTATATGTTTTGTGAAAACTTAAATAAAACTTTTATTAAAAAAAAGTATTTTATTTCCACTGAAACTCAGGAGGGCCAACAAGTTAAGATTAGGAAGATAAACGACAATATGACACAATGGATAATTCTACATTCTATCCTGCTGGGGTAAGCCAAAGTATTTTTAGAAACAATGAGAAATTAATTATATTGGTTGATCCTTATTATTTCCTTCTAACATGCTAGTCAATCTCTATAATATACTAACCTTTTCAATTGTGAGCATAAATAGGAACTTAAACGAGTTGCTTCTTCCAACTGCATAAGCAAACAGTTCTTCTTCTCTTGTAAGAGTATCCTAAAATAAAGCAAATTGTTTCCTTACTATAATTTTTATATAATGTACCTCTTATGTAGAAAACTTATGGCAGAGAACTGACATAGGCTTTTGTAGACAGTGTTCTAATTTTCAATGTTTACATACTCCATGTGCAGACATCTATTATTATTATTGTCATCTCTTTTATTCACTAAACATGAAACTCAGTCAACTGAACATTTAAAAATGTATAATAAATACCAGTGACTGGTGCTAATGATTGATACAGGTTGCTGCCAGTGGCCTAGGTATCAACCAAATATCTTCTTAAAATATACGATGTAGCACAGTTTTTTGCAGTTCCATTGGTGTTATTGCAGGAAGCTGTAATTTCTTGATGTGTTTTGTAAAATTCTTGGACATGGTACCAAGTGCCCTGATGACAATGGATATCACTGTTACATGTTTCATCTATAACCATGTAGTTTTGATGGCCAGGTCACAATATTTCATGATTTTTTTCCCAGTTCTTTTTCTCGACAACTGTAATATCTGGCGTGTTGTGTATCAAATGGCAATCTGTCTGTATTCAAAAGTCCCACAAGATCTTCAATGTCTCATTCTCTACAACCGTTTCCACTTTATGTTCTCATGATCTTTCAGATACAGGTAGGGTGTATTTTTTACATAATGACCAATGGATTAATTTAGCAACTCTAACATATCCAGCTTTGTAGTCAGTTTGTGCGATTTTGCTGCACTCACGTGAAACTTTGTCATTGCAAAGTCAGAGTTTGGATTGTCAGTGGATTTTTGTATCTTCGCTTTCATGGCATTAGTTTGTAGTGCTTGTTCTTGAGCAGCAAGTATTAAACCTTCCATTTCTTTCTTGATGCCCAGTCCTCTCTTAAGCCATGTCAAGTTGTTACCACGTTTTTGTTCAATATTTTTCAAATGCTGTCCATGCAAAGTTTTGGTTTTCCATCCATTTAATCTGTCATCCAGCTGTCTTTCCTTATATTCTGCCTTTGTTTTTGTTGTTTTTATAATGTTCTCCATTTTTACAGCCTGTAGCCATTTTTCTATACTTTGGTTCACATAATCATTCAAATTTCGTTTTTCTTCTTCTACAGTTTGATGGATTTGCAATAGCCCTCTGCTCCCTATTCTTCTTGGCAGGTATAACCTGTTGATGTCACTTTGTGGATGTAAAGCGTGGTAAATTTTCAAAGGTTTATGCTTTTTCCAGTCCAGGTTTTCCAGTTCAGCCACAGTCCAGTTGATGATTCCAGCTGGGTAGCGTATCACTGGAACTGCCCATGTATTAATGGCTTTAATTGTGTTTTCAGCATTCAGCTTTGATTTTAATATTTTGCAGACGCTCCTGATATATTCCTTTTGCATTGACTCTTTTGACTTTTCCATTCAAGATATTATCTGCTTCCAATATGCCTAGGTATTTGTAATCGTCATCCTTTGCAAATGCTTTCATGATGCTCCCATTTCCCAGTTCTATTCCTTCTATTTTTCCTCACTGCATGGATAGTATAGCACATTTTTCAAGTCCAAACTTCATTCTGATGTAGTTGCTGAACATTTGAACTGTGTTGAGTATTGATTCAAGTTCAGTGGGGCTTTTCGCATACAGTTTTAAGTCATCCATGTATAGTAGATGGCTTATCTTGCCATGTTGGCTTGAGATTTGGTAGCCCAGTTTTGTGTTTCGTAGGATTATTATCAGTGGGATTAATGTGATGTTGAACAGTATTGGCGAAAGTGAGTCCCCTTGGAAGATTCCTCATCTGATGTTGACTTCACCAATGTTCTCCCCATGTATCATAAATACCATTGACTGGTGCTAATGGTTGATACGGGTTGCTGCCATTATTGTTGTTGTTATAGTGTTGATGGTGTTAAAGTCATCATTGCAGAATGTATGCTGTTTATAAAACTACCTTTTGCAACTGACTGATGGCAATTTTTTCAATGCTGGCAGTGTTCAAGTGGTGCTCCAGATGTTTTGGGGTTACTGTACTGTCTTTGCTTCCTTTTCCAACAATCAGTCTATTTCTAATTGCAAGTATTTGTATTTTGTGATTTTCTCCTGTTTTTTCTCTTCTCTTCTGGTGTTTCCAGGTACTGCAATGTCCATTATCCAGATTCTTTTGTCTTTTTACTGACAATTGTTAAGACTGGTAATTGTGTGGCAGGTGCTTGTCTGTGTGAAACCTGAAGTCCCAGAGACTTTAGCTTGTACATTTTTTATTACTTTCTCTCTTTTGTGGTCCCACTAGTTTTGTCTGCAGGGAAGTGGTATTTCGCACAGATATTCCAATGTGCCATTGTTGTTACTTTGTCATACTGTTGTTTGCACAGTCTTGTGCATTCTTTTTGCAACAGCTAAAACTAGATGGTCCACGCCCCTCTGCCTCTTTAACTTTCATTGCCATGTCTCCCTTCTATTTTTCATTTGGTCTTTCTTGTAAGCCAGTACGATTGTCTCCAGTACTCGGTAAGCTTTCATAGTATACTAGCTTTTAGTGCAATGTCTTCACTATCCTTTAGATATTCTTCCAATGCCTTTTTTCTTCTTCTTTAAGTATCTGATGTAGTTGCAAAATTCCATGCCCATGTATGATCTTTGCCAAATAGAGTCTGTCAACATTGCTATATGGGTGAAGGACATGATTCACTGTCATTGTTTCTCTAGTCTTCCTATCCAGGACTTCTAATTCAACTATATGTATCTAATGATTGGAATTGCCCAGGTGTTAATATTGCACTGCCAATACACTGCACTGGTGAAATACATTTGGACTAAAAAGTGATTATTATGTACAACTGAAGTATACTACATCACAAGAAAGTACAAGAGAGTAGAGCAAGGATTGCACCAAATCTCTCTCTAGTATAGGTTTGGGGCAAGCAGGACAATAAAATGATGACATCAAGAAAATGAAAGGATTATTTTCCATTTTTATTTTCTGGGTATTTAGTTTTTAAGTTGTCACCTAAAAATACAGGGTGACAAAGGTATAAATTCTTGCTTTTTTATTTAGCAGAACTATTAGTACACAATACAAAGTTGTGCAAAGGCTGATACCTGCTATTGTGTCACCCTGGCAGTAGCACAACCCCATCCAGAACTAAGGATGGAAAATCACCAGATCCAGGAAGTCTAAAAACCCAACCCACTTGGTCTTACTAGGGTTGATATTAAACCTGTTATTTTGTATCAAGATTCCACTGCCTCTATGCATTCAGACAGCCTCATTTGGCCATATGTGATTGCTAGAGTATCATCAGGATATTGATAATATTTTACTCTCTGTTACTGAATGACTTCAGCCAGTGGTTTCATGTACAAGTTAAAACAGGAATGTGAAAAAAGTCATTACTGAAGCATTCTGTGTAACAGAAGTCATAGGGCAAGTTCTCTCCTGCCCCCCTCCCCTTTCCCAATTAATACAGATTGGAAATTATTCTGTTTTTGGAAGAATGAGAATCAGCACAACAATGTACTCTCAACCGTTAATTCCTGGAGCAGCTTCAAAAGGATACCATGGTTCTTAAGACCATTGAGAAATCAGGGAGAATAAAGATGGATGGATTACTACCTCCCACTCTCTCCAAAGGTCAACCACAAGTGCAATCAATAACTCATACCCAGGCCTGCAACCAAATTAGAAAAAGTCCATAAACTTCTGTATGGTTGATGTCTGATAACTGTTATTATTGCCTTTATTAAACAGCTATACTAGCATTAACAAGTATGTTACAAAAGCAATATATTCTCAACCTTTCAGCAGCACCATGAGAAGAAGTAGCCTGAGCCTGCTGGATATCCTCCTCCAAGCGCCTTTTTTCCTCCTCTATGTGTTTCAGATCTTCTGGTGAACGCTGCTGTTGACTTATAAGCTGCAGTTCTTGTAAGAGAGCCTCTTTTTCTTTAATAAGCTGAAGATGATCAATATCAGCCTCCGCCATTCCTGGCCAAGATTCCTGGTCTTGTAAAGCCAATTGTTGCTGGATTCTGATAACTCTTAATTACAAAGGAATATGAAAAGTTAATATATCAACAAGAAACATCTCCCCTCCAAATCTATACAAAGATACATTTTTTTGATATGGAAGTATTTAGTTGAAATACTGTGAGATTAAAATAACATCTATATATAACATAACAAGCAGTTATAAAATCCATAATAAATTTGAATTGCATAAACTTTTAATATAGTTAAAAGGTGTATCTTCGGAATTTGATGTCTTCTCAAAAACATCTCTATCACTATCTCTGGAATCCTTATTCTCAACTTCTACTTCTACTTCTGTTTTGTTTTTTAACTCCAAAGAGTTTGCCAGGGTACAAACTTAAATTGGAATTTAAAATGTTGATGTTATGGCTGGATCAAGGCAGTAGCAGGAATAATGGGAAGGAGAGTTTCTGAACATAATGGTAATAATGTGCAAGCATGCTATGGGAAAGAAATCTGCTGCACAATGTTTTTTGCTAAGCATTAAATAGTGCCAGTTCTTCTACCATTTAAAATGGAAATTCTGTATCACAAATGGCCTACTAGAATATATCTGTTTGTTTGTATTTAATTTTCTGTCAAGGAAGCAATAACAACAGTTATTTGTAGTATTTATCCCATTTCAAATCAAAAGCTTTTTAATGTATGGGTTTTTTGTATCTTAGGTATTTCACCATTGGCATTATTATGACCTACAAAAAAAAAGAGCTGTCATATTTTATTTCTATTTTTTAATTAAGATGAGGTATAATTTTTAGATTCCATTTACATTCTGAAAAGGATAACAAAGTATTCTTATATTTTGGGACAACCATGTTAAGAAGGTTCTCCAGTGGAAAGTACTCACAGACAAAAATATATTTTATATAAGAATCCACCAACTGAAATGGTAACATATGTATTTGGTTCTCTTGCCACTTTAACTATATGAGGAGCCTGATTAAAATATTTTGAATATATTGTAACACTTTAATTTTGTCAACTTCAGTTTTAGACCAAATACAGCACATTCCATATCCACACTGTATAACTTTAGTAGGGTTTCATGAGCAAAGTTAGTCTGAACACAGAAATACTTTGTGGAGACAAAAGCTGTACAGAATGCCAATAAGCTAACAGAAAGGAATGCATGATAAATAAAGAATGTGACCACTGACATAATCTAGGAGAAATAAATGTGTCTTAGCTCTTTGATTTAAAGTTTAAAAACCATGTTATACATATGTAAGAATAAAATTTGTGAACAAATGAAAGAGACAAATATAGAATTACAATTAGGAATATTTTTCCTAAGCAGTGTACACATGAACACATACACTATATATATATGATTGTGTTATAACAGAAAAACACCACTAGGCTTACAAAATATGCAAACATTTACTACTAGTAATTTCTCATAAATCTTGGTTTACTTTTCATACTTATACCTCAAATGACTCATATTTTATTCTTTTTACATTTTCCCAACTGAAGAACTTTGGAAACTTAACGGAGAATGTATTTTTCTGTCAACTTGACACTTCAATGTTAACTGGAATTATAAGTGATACTTACATTATTTTTTTAGATACATGCTTCTGGAATGTGTGATGTAAACTACCCATATAAATATTAAATGGATATCAATATATTTATAAAGAAATGAACTGAATGTAGCAACATCTACTTAGGTTAGAGGTATGAAAATATTCTGTCTAATAAATGCATTTGAATACTCTTCTTCACCAGGCCGACTGAGTAATCTTCTAACAAAATTAGGTAAAAATAAAAGTTTCCTTGTCTAGTAGCGTCCAACTCTAGATGCGGTGCTCATCTCCATTTCTTGGGCAAGCGTTGTCCAATCATATTTTCTGTGGCCATGTCACCAGCATGGTTATATGCCAAAGGCACACAGAACACTGTTACCTTCCCACCAAAATGGTATGTATTAATCTACTCCCATTTGCCCGCTTTCGAACTGCTAGGTGGGCTGGGGCAGGAACAGGAGCTCACCCTTCTTTTATGGTGCTTGAGTCTCGAACTCAGGCTATCAGATTTCCACTGACAAGCTCGGGTCTTTAACCACTGAACCATCATGTCCCCTCAACAAAATGTAATTGGTGCCTATTCTGTGTCTATCCATGTCCAGGATTCACTGCAAGCACATATATTTTGGGGTTTGTAATATGTGATTTTCACACTCCCTCATTACAACTTGGTTAGCTGGTTTTTATTTCATCTCAAAAGTTACCCTGTTGCTTCAAAAGTTATAGCTAAAATATAAAGCAATCCATATCACTTTAATGTCGTATTTATTTATTAAAGTATTATTTCTTTATAGCATAAAAGTTTTGCCAAACCAAGGAATTAGAATGTAATTTTTTTTATGTATTTCTTTTTTGTATTACTTTTAATTTGCCTAATTTAAATGTGCATTGCTGCAGTATTGGATAATTACTTAGTGGTTCTTCAGATTGTTAAACTATGCTAAATATCTAGTCACATATATGCAAAATCCCAACCAAGACAAAAGCTACTAACAGATTATTTGCAACGTTAAAAATAGCAACTTAAGATATTCACCTTTTTTTGGTCTCTTCATACTGCCAAATTAGTTTCATTTTGTCTATATAGCTTGTTGTATCTTCCAATCCAAGCTTTTGTGAAGAAAAGAAAAACAAGAAAGTTAATAATACTATTAGAACATGAGAAGAAATAAATTACAGAAAGATACAAAAAAATGTCTGTTATTACTTTATATTAATCAGCAGGGAAGATTTATTTGAGGAATAGGTAGTTAGCAGATACATTGTAAGAAAGGGTCTGTTTGATGCTGAAATTCTTGACTTTGAAAGACACTAAACTTGAGCACATACATTTAGTCTGAATTTCCCCCAAAAGATCAATGATAATCAGAACAATGCTTAACAAGATCTCAGAACAGGAGAAGCTAATAAGAAAAGGAACTCAAATTGAGTAGAAGTCCCTTAGAAAGGAGATAGAAGCACAAGTGCAAATAATTTCAAAGAGAAAAAAAGGAGCCAATCTGGATCTCTAATCAATTCAATAAAGGTTTAAAAGGATGAAACAAAATGAAACAAAGGAAATAAAACAAGACAGGCTTACAAAGGAAGAATACAGATAAATCATCTTGATCTGTTGTCACGTTGACCTAGTGTCACAAAAGTAAAAGATCAGAATGAACTGTTATTAGAAGAGGACGTTAAGAATAACAAAAAAGAGTTTCTTTTGAAATGTCCAAATAATATCAAAAGAAAACTAATAATTTTAATAGTGTGCCAACTGGTCAATAAAGACAGCATATAATAAAGAAGAGCTTCTCAATTTCTGCTTTGGTTCCCTTTCTGTCAGATCTACCACCTTCAGTTTGGCACCTCGCTGATGTTCTGCCATCAACTGGAGAAGGGAGGAGGGAACCAATGGGGAATAAAGCTGTATACTTTTATAATTGAAAATTGAGAGAGGGGACCGACAGTTGAGGAAGAACAGAACGTTTTTGAATTTGGTTCATGCTAGCATCTTCAAGGCCATTTAACCTGAGAGTAGAATTTCACCAGCCCAAATACCAAAGCGTTTCCTAAACATCTGGGTGGTGCTGGATTGACTACACACCAAGTGATTAGTTCTGTATTGATGTATGGGAATTTTAAATTGTACCCGACCCTATTGCAATCAGCATCTCTTCGTAAAAGTGCATTTCCACTTCAACCAAATGGAGTCAAGAGTTTTACTTTCCTAGGAGATCAGACTGGGGCAGGTCTGACATTTTCTTTTATACTTTATTCTTGAAAGTTACAAAAAGTATCATGTGCCACTGGAAAATAAAGAGGCAGAATTGAAGACTGATACTTCTTGAACCATATTTTAATGAGGTTACTTTTTAAAAGTTAGATGAATTGAATACTGAAGGAAATAGCTGACTCTCCATTAGACAATCAGTCTGTCGCTGACAAAAAATCTACAGCAGATAATAAAAGAGCATGATGAAAATAATATAGGAATTATCAGAAATCAAAATTAGCTTATCAACTCTTGACAGATGAGTCATGTTTGATTGCAATAACATCACTAAGTTTTTGGGAATGCTGTAAAATAAAATATCCTCTGGACTTTAGGAAAGCACTGACAGAACATTCCATGTTAACTGGCAGTGCATTTAAATATGGGCTAGATAGCATGACAATTAATGATATATACTATAGCTGTCATCACTTTTCTAAAGTAGAGCATGTTCATCAAGGTTTTTCATAAAATTGAAGAAAAAGGTCAAGTGGGATATTCCAGTGATCAGTCCTGCACCCTCTAATTATAGTTAATGACTATAAGGACAAGAAATTTGCAGATACAAAACTGTTTGGGATAGCTAACTTCATAGAAATAAACTTCAAAAGAATAATAGATGATAGAAATAGGCTGAAAGTATCATTTTTCATAAAGGAAAATCTGAAGTACTTCACTCTCAGAAGAAAAATCGAATATTTAAACATGGGACTGTAATGAAACCTGTGAAATGAAATTGGAAATAATAAATGAATATGAATAATAGATGAATATGAAGTAATATAGCAGTAAAACAAACCAAAGCAATTTTACACTGTATCCACAAAAATATAATGTCCAAATCATGGGAACAATCCCATTTTGAGTACTATATTTATTTCTAATTCTTTAAAAAGGATTCAGATAAATTGTTTCTGTTAAGAACAATGAGAATAATCAAGGAAATTAAGTCTTATAAAGAGACACTGAAATAACTGGGTACATTTAGCCTTGAGAAAAGATGACTGATAGCACTCCTCAGACATGAAAATATGCCACAGAAAAGGTCAAACCTGTTCTATTTCATTCCTGAGAAATCAGAGAATAAAGACTATAAATTATAGAAATATAGAATATAACTGAATGTTAGAGGTAACAAAATTTCTAACAGTACAATTTGTACAGTTTGACAACGAAACTAATTACTCAGAAAAGAGTTTTAGTACCCAAAGAAGGTTCTCTTCATTCAGTCTATTCAAATGATATCTGAATACCTACCTGATTTGGATGTTATTATTTGAATTTGTGCACTTGGAGGAAGGGATTAGCTCAATGGCCTTTTATGATTCGTAATAGGTTATGTCATGCCCCTGGTGGAGATTGACTCTGAGGAAGAGGAGGAACAGCCAACAGGGAGTGGGAGTGTGGCTCCAGAGGTGGTGGAGGAGGCTGGGGAAGGGCAGAGGCCGGCTGAGCAATCAGAGGAGGATCCAGGCCCATCTCCTATCCATCCTAGGTCATGCAGGAAGGAGAGGATCAGGAAAAAGCGAGGTCTACTCAGGAGAAGATTACCATGATCCTCCTCGTGGCTTGCAGCTGGGAGCTATGTATATAAGTTTGTAACTGCGCAGTCAGAATTGCTGGAGTCAAAGTTTAGTGTTTACTTTGAAAGAGGTTTATCTTTGCTGGCGTTCTTCCCATGGACTCTCCTGGGTTATTTTCCTGGAATGTATGATTAGTTATCTTGGCTTGCTTTGGAAGTCTCGTCAATGCAGTTTGTTTTGGTTTTCTTTTTGCCTCATTATTTACTTTTGTGACTTTAAACTGTGCCTAATAAAACAGTGAAGTTAAGTTGAAGGCCTTACCGGACTTTAATGTATGTTTTGGGTTATTTTGAGAGACTATGGGTCATCACAGGTTATGACTTTAAAACACTATGAAAGAACAACTCCTGATTAGTACATAGGAGTATCTGCATAGGGCAAGTTCCAAACAGTCAAGATAGAGGCTTTGAGTGTGCAACTGAAGCCCTGCCCGTCTTTATATATCATATTTTTCGGAGTATAAGATGCACTTTTCCCTCCCCAAAAGTGGGTGGAAATATCTGTGCATCTTATACAGTGAATACGGGCCCATTTTTGGCCTCCCAAAGCCTCTGAGGATCCTGTTCCCCCCCTCCCCCGAGTCCAGAAGCACTCTGCAGGGCAAAAACGCACCCGTTTGTGGCCTCCGGGGGTCACATTTTTGGCCTCCCCTGGGACCTCTGGAGGCCTCCAAAAATGGGTGCATTTTTGGCCTGCAGACTGCTTCTGGACGCCAGGGAGGGCAAAAACAGGACACATGGAGGCAAAAAACTATTTTTTTCTTGTTTTCCTCCTCTAAACCAAGGTGCATCTTATAGTCTAGTGCCTCGTGTGTATGTGTGTATGTGTGTGTGTGTGTGTGTGTGTGTGATATTCACTTTGTCAATACAAAATATAACTTCAGGATAGTTACTACCATACCAAACGGGTATCTCTATTTTTAGAGAAATCTCCCCTCTCCATGGACATTTAATAATCAAGGCAAATTCAAACCTCTTTGGCAGGTTAAGCAATTACTTAATTTCAAGTCCCTGAAAGATTTATCCATGATCTATTATCTCTGTAGTGGATTTAAAGGCCATCTAAAGTACTAGACATTCAGAGATCCAACCTAGGAAGCGTAATTCCATTACAGAATCCCTATCAGCTCCCTGAAACCTTCAGAACTGGGTTCATTCTCAGAACTCCAGTACTAGTAACAAGGAGAAAATGTTGTTGAGCCAGTAGAATCCAATCTGTTTTGAAATCTGAAGAAAACAACTTTCTCAATGATTTCAACATAAGAAAATATTCAATCAAACCAATGAATAAATGGTTTCTGTATGCATGCCCTTTAAGGAGAAAATTCTGCAAAAAAAAAGTTTCTTCCTCACTTCTGTGGTTTTGTATCTCAAGATGTGGAAGTTGTTTGACTTCCTCAACACTACTATTAAGGAAACCTGAATGGCTAAGCACTTTAATTTTTGTACTTCCTTCTTAATTAATGCCTTTGTGCCCTTGATTTATTAGAATACTGTAATATTTTATATTGTACAATTATTGCAGATTTAACAAATTGTGTACCTAGAAATTATTTATATAAATATAAATATATTATAAAATATAAATATTATATAAAATTATTTAAGGGGAACAAATGTTGAACAGATAGTAGAAACACATAACGCACTCTCTCTGTCTCTCTCTCTGTGTGTGTGTGTGTGTGTGTGTGTGTGTGTTTAACCACTATTAACTTTACCTCATTTACTTCAAAATAAATTACTGATCATTTGACTATTATATTTAAGAATGTATATGTGATAAACCTGCTCTATAATCTTATTTTATAGATTTTTTTTAAAAAAGGTAATTCAGCATGATTGAAATAGAGAAACATTGACAGAGTAAGCTGGGCATGAATCCCTAAGATATCTAAATTACCTTTTGGTTCAAGAGTATACAACATATTTTTTCTTGTTTGCACCAATGCATATGAGACAGTTTTGATTTGATTAAATTATATTTTAGTGTAATAGAACGCTAGCCACATTTTTAAGAATAATGACAACTTTTTCTCTGAAAACATAGTGTAGTACATTAAATTTATATAGTATACCTCGCCAATGATGTCAGTTTGAGAACAAGCGTCACAATATAGTTGAGATAGATTGGAATCATTGAATGAACCAGAACTGTGCTGAAGATCATGAAAAGATTCTGTAATGCAACAGCTATTTCTGAATCCATCTGTCAGCTTGGCCAGACTCTTGAAAAAAAAGGAACATTAAGAACACAATTATATGAAAGAACTTTCTCATGGTTTAATAGTTTTTTTAAAAAAAACAACACAAAATAATATTGTTCACAAAAATTTTCTTAATTATGGAAATAATAGAGAATACGACCTTTACAAAGAAGAAAGTTTAAAGAAATTTTAAATAAAATACAAACATTTTAAAATAGCTCCCAAGACTATAAATATAAAACTAGTCATTGACAGGTCTAAAATAATAATAATAATGTGCAGTAAAAATAATATGCTAAACCAGAGGTCTTCAAACTTGACAGCTTTAAGACTTGTGGACTTCAACTCCCAGAATTCCAACTCCAGTCATGTTAGCTCACGAATTCTGGGAATTGAAGTCCACAAGTCTTAAACTTACCAAGTTTGAAGACCCTTGTACTAAACCCTCTATAAAGATTACTTTTTTTTCTTAATTTGAGGCAACTACCATCCAACAGGGATATCCAGATGGTAAGCAACTGTGTTCTACAGATCTCTTAGCAAAAAATATCTTTTAAGGAAAAGATATTTGTGCTTTCTTATAGCACAAACTTCAATGCTTGCATCTTTATATTGAGATCTTTGGTTTTAATCAGATTATTCCTCCAAAACCAAACTGAAAGAAGATTAATTTATAACTTAACACTAGAGAATTTGTCTCTTTTTATTTTCAGTTCATGAAAATGGTTTATAAACTGAATTTATATTGGATACTATTCTCCTATGGGAATTTTTTAAAAGTATGTTTTAACTGCATTTTAAAATCTGTTAGCAATGATTACCTGTCTAGAACACTAAGTCATTTTAATGAAAATTAAAAATTAAACATCTCTGCATGATCGGCGCAGGGGAGAGGGGCTCAGCATCCCCACGTTGAATCCTCTTCGTCGGAAGGCCCTCCAAGGGGCTAAAGTCACTCTGTAGGGGTGACATATGAGGGGTACACTGCTGGTTGCAGAGAGTGGCAGCTCTCCTGCTGGACCCAGGGTTCCTTCCCTCTTTGCCAAGGATGAAGACGAGGCAGCCAAAATGGCGCTGTGAAGCTGGGGCAGCCGAAGAAACCAAGACTGTGCTGGAGCGGTGAAAGTGGACAGTGACTGGAGCTGGGTAAGGTGATTTTCAACTTTTGCTAAGGATTTCCCTAAAAGAAAATTAATCTGGGAAAAGATACTCTTTGGAATACCTTTAAGCGGCACTCAAAGAGTGACAGAGATAAACTGCACCCTAAAAGCTATACAATACAGAAGACTGGATGTATAAACTTTACTGACAGGACTCTGAACAGGCGTTTTAAAGTGCTAGACATCTGACTGTTTATTGGATATTTTGTTAGAATTATTGAAAGAAATAATTGGCAGAATAGTTTTAAACTGGATTTTTAATGTTGATCTTTGAACACGGATTTTTAATGTTGACTTCTAAGCTGAAGGCACCATCTATTGGTGAATGAATATATACTATGTCATATTCCAAACAGGATAGCAGCCTGGGAAAACTTTGATGAGAAGAATCAAAGGAGGTCTGCTGTATTATTTACTGCTCTATACTTATCTACTTTATGGTGACTAGATGACTAACCTTGAAAACCTGAAGGATATCTAATGAAATGACTTTTGAATATTGGAACTAACTAGCAAATTAAAAAGTGGATTTAAAGAGTCATTTGGAAAACTCCCTGGATTGTATAAATGGAACCTATTGACTAATTGTGGGATATAAAGAACTATAACTATTGTATCTCCTGATGAATAACATTAAGATTAAGTAATCTGCTGGCTTTGGGAAGTCAAAAAGAATAGACTCCGGAGCGGTGACAGATTACTGACAGAACATTGAATACTACTTGGACTCTTCAAAATAAGGCAAAATGGCTCATCAGGAAGAAACTGGAGACACACAAAAAATTATTATGCTACTCCAAAGCATTCATGACAATATGATGGGGAATTTCAGAGAGATAAAAGACTTATTGCATGATATAACTGGAAAGACTGAAACTGTGCAACAAAGAATAATGAAGCAAGACAATAAAATCCAGAAAACAAGGGAGAAAACTGTAAGCTTAGAAAATGAGATAGAAAATACCATTACTATTAGAAGGATGGAGCAAATATTGAATAATTGAAAAATGAAGGATTATGTGCTGATATTGATATGTATAACACTAGATCATGTAAGTATGATTGATATGGTAACTTCTACTTGTATTAATATTACTTTTGTGTCAAAATGAATGAAACTCAGATCCTACACTGTCCACAAAATGATATTGATGTATGTTTAAAAATAAAAAAAAACTTTAAAAAAAATCAAAATACATACAATTAAAAAATGAACAAATGAACTTCCACGCTACACAGAATGCAACGATGTAGGACCATAATTGGGCTCTAAATTTCTGTTGCTAAGCAAGGCAGTTGTTAAGTGAGTTTTGTTTCATTTCATGACCTTTTTGCCACAGTTAAGCAAATCACTGCAGTTGTCAAGTAAACCACTCAGTCATTAAGTGAATCTGGCTTCCCCCATTTATTTTGGTTGTTGGAGGTTGGCTGGGAAGGTTGCAAAGAGTGATCACATGATCTCCAGACAGTGCAACTGTCATAAATACATGCCAGGTGTCCGAATTTTGATCACATGACTGTGGGGAAACTGCAATAGTTATAGATGTGAAAAACAATTGTAAGACACCTTCTTCAGTGCTATTATAACTTCAAATAGTCACTAAACAAATGGTTGTAATTTGAGGACTATTTGTACCAATGAAGAGGAGGGGAAAATCAACTTGAAGATGAAAAAGGAACAGTTCTCAAATTTATAAGAATTAAAGTGAGGCAAACTTAGACTTTGGAGATGTGCTACAAGGATTAAAATTCTGTGGTATGCACATTATAGACATCAGAGGGGAAAAACATTTTAAAAATATTCTTGTGTAGGAGTTTTGCTTTCCTACTTAAACATTCTTGTATTATAGGAACGCTGACTGTCACTCTTATTTGCCATGTTTAAGACAGATGATTCATACTGCAAAGAATTTGAACCAACAAAGAAAACAAAACAGTTCTTTCTTGAACTGCTCTTTCTTGAAAGCTTGTAATATCCCTTTTCTATTATAGCTCTAACAACATCTATGTTGAAATGTTATTTTGATTTTTTAAAAATAAAATTACTGTGTTAGTAATTTTTCTCAACTTCATCAACTATATATAAAAGATACAATTTATCAATTGTTACAAATATTTTTATGATTATTGCCTTTCATTTTTTACACCAAAGCAAAAAGAAGTAACTTCTAAGTTCTTCTCATTACAAAAGAAAACCTGAACTCTACTAGTAAAACAACAGCATTTTTGCATCATTTAGATCATTTTAACTACCATACTATAATTATAGATGTGACTGACACTTCTCTCCCATTTTATACTTTTCAGCAAAATAGCCTGAAATAACTATCACTAAAGGTAGGGTTTTAGTTATAATGAATGCTGTCTATCTCTTCTAAGACCATTATTAAAGCAGTATTTCTTTACTTCTTTTAACTTCTTAATTTCTTCTTATTTTTCATTTGTAAAAACTGAAATTTTAAAATACTCATAATTCTAAACCTTATTTAACAATGAGTGTTTTGCTCTTATACTTTAAAATGCCAGTACACATAATGTAGTCATGGCAGGTAAAAAATAATATAAATAACAGTACAGTAATGGATGATGACTGAAATGTTAATGGTCTACCTATACGGATACATGAATGTGACTCTTTAACTTAAAGAAAAATAGGTCACTTTCAAAGCTAGATTGTTTTCAGCATTTATCTTACAAATAGCCAATAACCTGGCATTGCCTGGGTATTTATTTACCCCAATCCTGTATTAGACAGGAAAATCCTGTAGTTTTGAACCAACAAACGCACGCCGTTGTACTGTCTCTCGTGCATTGCAATTCTTCTATTCCTCCACAAGAGGGAGCCCCCTTGTGGAGTACTGTGAAGTCGTTACCATGGCAAGTCCACTGTGCTGTACAATAGGAGCCATTTTAAGGCACCCCCCCCCCCGAGGGATGTTGGGGTGTCTTATCCCCACAGTATTTGTTTCCAGAGGGTAAGTCATCTTCAACCAAGTTTGGTTGAAATTGCTTGAGGCGTTCCAGAGTTGTGCTGGAACATACACACAAACATCTCTGTGTGTGTGTGTGTGTGTGTGTGTGTGTGTGTGTGTGTGTGTGTATGTAGGTCTAGGTGTGTTCGGGTCTTTTCCCGTGTAAGATTAAGAGTATCTTGGCGACGTTTCAGCGAGGTCCCACTCGCCATCCTCAGGCTGGTGCTTTCAGCTTCGTGCCAGTGCAAGCAGTGTCGAAAGCCGAAAGCACGAAGCTGAAAGCACCAGCCTGAGGATGGCAAGTGGGACCTCGCCAAAATGTTGCCACGATACTCTTAATCTTACATGGGAAAAGACCCGAACACACCTAGACCTACATACCTGTACCCGTGAAAATCTACGAAAACAAATATATATGTGTACATATATATACATATAAATATATATATACACACACACACACACACACACATATATATATATTCATAATCATGAGGTCAACTTATCTTCAAAGAAGGATTTATAGGCCATATCTCATAATTACTTCATTTCAATCCAGTTCTAGCATTTAATATTGGTAAATTATTTGATTGCCTTCCAAATGAGTTAAAGAAGAAACTGGTCTGCAAAATATCTTTGCTTTTGCTGTAATGGTGATGGCTACACTGGTCTCAGGGTTGCATATAGTTAGCTATTTTAAATATGAGGTGATAATTGACTTTACACTTATAGCCAAGACAAATCCTGAATAAGATAAAAACATAAAATATTATTAAGAATTACAAAAAAAGGTTTATATTTCTATCTAATTTTTGTAGCGGCAGGTGACTCTGGGTGTCATACAATAAAATATGAAGTAAACTTACATATTTTCATGCTTCAAAAATATGCCAATCACTAAAAAAATTCTGTTGTTGGTTAAGAAAAAGGACATCCCTAAGAATTATAAGAGTTAGCAGACATTATAAAACCATAAACATTATTGTTTACTTCTTACTTGCATTAAGTCTTGCCGTTCTTTTTCACCTAAACATATGGCTTTCCTGATGCTTCGAAGTTCATTCATTATTGCTTGGGCTTCATCCAATTTATAATTCATATGAGAATTAGACATCTTCCGATCAATCCTAATACACAAACATACACAGGAAAGTTTACCCACTTTTGGTAATATCTGAATCTGAATAAATCTTGAATGTTAAGAATGTTTTCCTTTTTTCAGCTGTATGGTCACAAGTAGTAGTGGAGGTGGCAAGTGTTAAAAGCTTTTTCCACCTTGCCATTTATATTAAATTAGGTGAAGTACTATCCTTTCAACCCTTCTATCGATAGATACAGATAGAGAGGGAAAGAACAGATGGAAGAGTAAAAGGATCTATGCCAGCTACTGTTCTGCAAAATGGCCAAAGTATACAATGCACAGATGTCATGAGAAAGAAGAAATTGTTCTATGCAAACACTACTTCAGTAGCACCAGGAAGGTTATTTCTTAGGTAAAAATTATAGTTTTTTTAAAAAAACTGCTAATACCACTAAAACTAAAAACAAAATAAGATATAAAATATATATCATTATTTTAACATCTTTTTGTTGCCTACATTATAAACATTAACATAAACAACAGCCCTGTCCTTTTACATTTCAACTTACTCTTGTAGTGTTTCGACTCCTTTTTCTTTGTACTGTAACTCTTGCTTCATTTGTGTTAATTCTCTCTTTAATCTAGAAAGCTTGAGATAAAACCATGAAGAAACAATTGTGCTGATAACAAACAAATAATTGCAATTTATAGTTCAGCTGATTATCACAGTTTAGTTTCTTAATATAGGGTTGTTGAGTCTGAGATTACAGTATGAGCTTTCTGTAGTTTATTGCAATTAGCTAATTAGACAGAAAACCTAAAAGCATTATACAACAAAGTTTGTTATTTGGTTTCAAACTGTGTATGAGCACTACCTTGAAAACCCATATTGCATTGTGATATTCAGAGTTATTTTTATGTCACATTAATAAATAATACCTTCTTTGTCACAGACCACCTTTTGACAATCTAAAAGTATAAAATTTACAACTAGTATGGTAACTACAGTAAGTTAGAGTATAAAATATAAAAATAATTAAAATATTAGTAGTATTACAAATGTCATACTTTCCTAAATTAATCCCTGCATCCTAAATTGCAATTGTTCTCAAAATGTTACCACAAATAAGAAAATGATGCAATATAATGGCTTAATTACTACCAGAATTTATTATGTACTTTCTGGACAAAAAGGATTTTAAATATTTATGCAAACATTACACCAATTCTTCCTAACCAGTCCTTCTATTGTGGTAAAATATGAATTTAAATGATTACATTTAATATACAGTATTTATAAAAAATGTTACTCACTCTATCACGTCGACTAGCTATTTCTGCTTTAATCTGAGATGGGTTGTATTTAGTGTTGGTTGAAAATCCAGAATATGCTGAAAAACACAAAAAATAAGTATTCAAAATAAACTCTACAAAAAGTTCCTAACAAGCACAAGAAAAGAAGGGAATTTCACTCCCTGTTTCACAGAAAACGTTTATTTTTACTAATAAGGTGGCAACATATAATCTATCTGTTCATCTAAAAATATAATTTCACCTAAAAGCTAAGTTCACTGTTTATTCAAGAGACACAATGTTAGTATTAATTTTACAATCAAGAATTAGAATTTAGCATTTTATAACATAAACGGTAAGGAACTAAACTTCTCACTCTAACTTAAAGAAGAATAGTGCTTGTAATAATGTCCAATTATTTCAATTCAAAATATTGTACCGTATAGAAGATATAAAGTTAATAAAAATAATAAGTAGTGGCACATAGCACAAAATTAAACCATACTGGAAAATAAGCTTACAAAATATTTAAATAATAATTTAAATAATGACAGCAAAAAAGAAAGAAAAATCCACTATAATCCAAAAACTTCCAATATTCAAGTAATTTTGTTAAATATAAAGGGGAAGAAATCACAAAGTAACTTTTATTAAATAAATAATTGTATAAACTGCCCTGAATTGTTACTAAGCCCAGATTTACTCAGACTAAATATATCCAAATCCAGTAATTTGTTTCTGTATTTTACTTTTAGAACAGTCTAGGACAGGAGCGTCAAACTCAATTTCATTGAGGACCACATCAGGGTTGTGTTTCCATCTCAGGGGGCCAGGTGGGCATAGTCAGGGTGGGCGTTGCCAGCTCGACATCACTCATGCTGGCAGCGCCTGTGGTGGCCCAAGCACTCTGGCAGCGAAAACGGAGCTTGGGAGGGCCGCACGTTGCCTTCCTGAGCTCCGTTTTTGCTGGCAGAGGCATCACGGGCCAGTCCTTCATTATTTCCAGGGCAGCCCTGTGGCCAGATCTAAGCACCCTGTGGACTGGATCCGGCCCATGAGCCTTGAGTATGACATCCCTAGTCTAGGAAATCTTTACCAAATCATACTATTTAAATAACCATGATTATTAATTCAAATGAGACAAGGATATATAAACTGTTCGCACAGTAGTTTATATATAATTAATGGGCTCGGTCTGCCTCAACATCTGTCACAATTGCTAGCTCAGCTCTTTTATTTCTAGGAAAATCAAGGCATACATATCTATCTTCACAGCAGAAACTGATTTACAAAAGGATATTATATATAAAGGATTGAAAGCATGGACATTTTCAAGCTCCCCTGTTAAGATTCAAACAGAAAAGAACTTTCTAAAACTCATTCAACTCAATATAGCTAGGAAACAATCTTTACTATAATACTAAAAGTGAAGTTATTTCCAACTCTTTCCTCTACCAATTTTGTTTTTTTTCCCTTGCTATTTTTTTCCATATAGGTAATCTTCTACTTATGACCACAATTGAACTCAAATTTTTTGTTGCTAAGCAAGAGATTTGCAAAATGATTTTTGCCTCATTTTACAACTTTATTTGCCACAGTGGTTAAGTGAATCACTACAGTTGTTAATAACATGATTGATAAGTGAATCTGGCTTCCCCACCGACTTTGCTTGTCAGAAGGTCACAAAAGATGATCACATGACTTTGGGATACTGCAACCATCATAAATACATGCCAGTTGCCAAACAGAGGTGGGATTCTACCAGTTTGCACCTATTCACTAGAACCAGTTGCTAACATTCTAAGCAGTTTGGAGAACCGGTTGTTAGAAGAAATTACTGGCCTAATCCTGTAAGGAAGGCAGGAAGGAAACATTCTGGTGTTGCTTACAGAAACTGCCTCTCTGTTAACCCTTATTACTTTCTTGGCAGGACTAGACTTCCTGTCTCAGGAACATCTCTGGAGTTTCCCCCCCCTCCTTTGCTGATACTTTGCTTGTGTGGAGTGACCATTCAAAGTTACAATGGCACTGAAAAAAGTGACTTATGACCATTTTTCACATTTACGACTGTTGCAGCATCTCCACAGTCATGAAGCCAGGCAAGGAGATGCATGCCTCAAGGTGAGTGATATTGAGTTGGCTACACCCAGCAATAACATGACCACCAAGCCATGTCCACCCAGTCACATGACCACCAAGCCATGTCCACCCAGTCACAAGACCACCAAGCCATGGCCACCTAGTCACATGACCATCAAGCCATGGCCACCTAGTCACATGACCATCAAGCCATGCCCACAGAACTGGTTGTTAAAAATTTGAATCCCATCCCTGTTGCCAAGCATCCAAATTTGGATCACATGACCACGGGTTGTTGTAATGGTCATAAGCATGAAAAACAGTCATTACACTTTTTTCAGTGCCTTTATAATTTTGAATGGTCAGTAAATAATGGTTGTTAAGTCAAGGACTACCAGTAGTTTAAGGGAAACCTTATTAATTAAAAAATAATAAATTAAAAAGAAAACTAAAAGGGCAGACTTGATGGGCCATTAGGTCTTTTTCTGGTGTCAGTTTTCTATGTTTCTATATATTTAAAGCAGCTATGTATTGACATATCCACATTCCTATCAAGAAGAATTTTAGAGTCAAATATATTTTAAATAATCCATTAAGTCTCTCGAGCATTGAGAACTGAAAATCTGTTCCATTTCAAAGTTTTTCCTATCTGTCAAAATAGAAAGGATAGTCAAGATGTACTAAGCCCAGAGAATTTATTCTTGAAGCAGTGAGGATTATGGAAAACTGATATATCTTCAGCATACCAAGAAGGTGCAATTAAAAAAATACCAGACTAACTTTTGCCAAAAAGGAATGGTTCAATAAATTTAATATCTAGGTTTTTATGCCTTCATAGATAGGATATGCTTGGTAGAAAGCAAAACACCATTTCTCATGGAATTCAGGAAAAGATTCCAGGTTATAGCAATCAGAAAGACACCTGTAGGAAACCTTGGTATAGTAAGGCTTGTTCCTGAAGATGGCAATGAGCTGCCTGAAGCTCTTGAAGCAGTTGGGAAACTTCCAGGAAAAGCATGGGTTAAAAGTGTGGGTGAGGAGTGGGGGAGTGCATCCACAGGTAGTCAAAAGGATGAATAATGACTAGATGAATACATAAAGCATTTATAAGAAATTCTATAACAGATATATTTTGTATGTGTGACAGAGAGAGAGTGAGGGGGCGGAGGGAGACACAGAGAGACCCAATTTGTCTTCCATAACAGATATACAATATTCTGTGTGTTTGTGTGTATTGGGGGTGGGTGGGAAGGGAGGCCTAGTTTGTACTGATATTTCTCCAAGATGGCACTAATCTTAGCAGCTCATCAAACCGTGGGATGGTCAAATTTATCCAAAACTTACATAAAGGATGACAGAAGCATCCAATTAATTGCAGGCTTTGTTAATTTGTTAAAGCAAAAATATTCCTCCCGGTCTCTGAGTGTAGCTGGGGAAACAGTCCTCTAAAATTTTAAAGGCATAGATTGTTAAGCCCAGGAAGGGTTGTAAGGCACAGATGATTTTGGATAATATGATAATACATCAGCCTGCTGGTGATGTATTCCTGTGATATAAGAAATCCAAAAATCAAATAAGAAAAAATTGTGTCCACTTATTCTGATGTAGAATAAACTTCTTTAGATGTTTCATATTATTGTAATCAGTCTAAACATCTTCTGGATGTTAATGTAATATAGTAGATTTCTGTCTTTAGACATCTTTAGATAGCTCAAAATTCCTTGTTAAAAATGTCACACATTTATTTGGTAGATGATGGACAAGAAAAAAGAAATGTGCAAGGAACATTATGTCCAGAAGCCACAGCAGACTGAAATAGCATAGTTCCCTCAGTAAAATCAGAAGCACAAACCTGTATGATTAAGGAGCAGGATGATTGGGAATAGGCTAGAACTGGAGACTAGTGTGAGTCAATTAAAAGTTAAGTCTTAAAATTCCAATGAAAAGAGATGCTTTCTTAACATATTGGATAAATCGTTGAAGAGTGTGTTGGAATAAATTTATGAAAAAATTGGTCAAAATTGAAAGTTGCTGTAATTCCTGGAAGTGTGTGAAAAGACAAATCATAATGAGTCATTTTTGCATATATATTCTATAACTGTGTACTCTCAAATGAGAAGCAATATTCCAGGTAAGCCAATATAGGCAGATTAAAAATAAATTCTTCTAACTCAAAATGATAAATATGTAGAGATTCAAAAGAACAGATCCCAATGAAAAAGGCCCTCAAATTACTTGAATAACTCAACCACATAAACCATAAAAATGTTAGGAAATCATAGAAAGTAGGATTAACCAATTTCTGAATGAGGGCAATTTGATAATGAAAGACAGTTGAATGCAATTTTGTGTGTTCAAATTTTCCATAGTGATTATTAAATCTCCTGAAGCCTGAGTGAAAACTCATTCTTTCTATAACCATTCTAAGAACTCTGAAATCAAGAAAAAAAGCAGACAACATGAATATAACTGTCCTTATTTTACCTAAAAGGTGTATGTGCTGGAAGAAGAAAATGAATAGATAAAACACCTTTACAAATTCCCACCCCCCCACACACACTTTAGACTGCCCAACAATGGGTATAATGGAGTTGATTGTTATCTACACTTATCCAGGGATAAGTTTGTGGAATCAGTATTTTAGTGGAGACTGATTAAGATCTGACTCTTCCAATACATCTGCATACTTCAAATATTTGGATGACAAGGTTGAAGGCCCTCCTTCTATGAAACTCTGATTGATGAGTGCCTGACCCCTGAGAACTACAAATCTTGCATGCAGTCAAAGGTGATGTCATTGTGGTCCCACTGAATACATGGATTGTGAGCTGAAAGCCAGGTCATTCCCAGGACTCCTGAAAAGTATGAAAAGCTAAAACATGAGAACATGTCTGGTTTTGTTGCTGACAATTTGCAATAGTTTTGTGAGCTTGGTGATTGGGTCCAAGCATATATGCTGAACACCAACAGCTTCAAATAAAACAAGATGGAGAACAATGAAGAGTATATTTTCATGAGG